TCAGAGAAAAAGAGGAAGACCCCCAACGAGATGGATCAGCTAGGTGACATCATTGATGGTGTCAAGTGTGGCGGCGGTAGTGAGGTTGGCCCAGGATTGGACATTGTTTTGTTCTGCTGTGCATGGGGTCGCTATGAGTCGGTTCCAACTCGATGGCACCTGACAACAACAACATCGGTATGCAACGTGTGCTGCAAATTTCTTGATATGGCCTTTCTAGCCAGTCTTTGTAACTCCCATCAAATGACTGGGTAGGACCACACACATGTGAGGTGACTGTGGTCTACCAAAGGGATTGGCTAGCTTGCTGATAAAGGAAATAAAGTACAGGGCACCCTTGTGAGGTAGAACCATATAAACAAAGCATCTAGAACCCTCACGAGAGACTGTTTGATTCTGCCACCCCACTAGCCTTAAAAGGAGCCACTCCAGAGGAGGAAAGGGGGATCTTACTACCATCAACAAAGAAGAGCCAGCAGAGGAATATGCCCCTGGAACCCAAGATCTCTGCAATGGAGCTCAGTGACCCAGGTTACAGAGAGACAGGACACCAGAGACAGTGAGGAAAAGTGGCAGGGAAGTGGAGGCAGGTGGACCTCCAGTACTGCTGAGTGGATTTGAACTGGCAACCTTTAGATGAGTTGTTAAGTGCTATCAAGTTGGTTCTAACTCATAGTAACTCTGTATAGTTTTTCAGGAGCAACTGGTGGGTTTGAACTGCTGACCTTGTGGTTAGCAGTCCAGATGAGCATAAACCTTTGGTGTTACCCAAGGACCTAAGGCCATAGAGGGAACTTGTTCCCACAGAGGGGAAGTCTGTGGTGACGCCACTGGATAAGCACTGGAATAACCCCAAGGTCAGTGGTTCAAAGTCACCAGCGGCTCCTCGGGTGAAATGTGAGGTTTTCTCCTCCCACAAAGATTTACAGCCTTGGAAACTGCACAGGGTCGCTGACAGTTGGAACTCATTGAGGGCAGTGGGGTTACCTTGAGTTTTTTTGGCAAGAGTGAAATACACATCCGATTCTGAAGATTTAGCTTGATCACTCTTTTCATTATCTTTGATCCAAACTGCATGTTTGACATTTGTCACCAAATTTTGGTGAAATCATTTTGACCCAAACATAGACATTTCCCACTGTTTTCTGTAAACACCATGCTGATGGTGCTGTGAAAACCACAGACAAGGTTTATACTTGGCTAAATCTTTGACTGAATAAGTGAGTCTCTCAAGGGTGAGTCCTACAAAGTGGAGGTCAGACACCTCTCTCCTCCCTCCAACCTTTTGACCAATTCAGGTCAGCTGACCTTCCCACAGTGCTCTCTGCCTCTCTGAGGGTTTAGTAATTGGTTGCAGCTGGCCTCACAGAACTCACAGACAATACTTGTGATGATGGGGCTTATTAGGGAAGCAGCAGGTTACAATTAGGCTTAGCCATGACTCTGGAATCAGGGCAGAGTCGGCTCAGCTGTGCCCCAGGGCAGGCCTCTGTCTGGCCCAAGAGGCCTCCTGGTCTGGCCTGCTTTTTCCTGGCTTTGGTTACAGAGCTCTTCAGCTCCATCCATTCCCAGAGTCACCCCAATCCGCCAGTAAGCCTCGGCCTGAAGGAGCTCAGCTCTCCTGCTCTATGGGCGGGCAAGTCCACTGTGCAGTCTTCGATCATTCTCTGGTTCTGTCATCATTTCTCACTGTCTTGGTGTCTCTAGCATCACAGCTCTGGGGATAGGAGGCTCCCAGTTCAGGGACTCCAGGTCCAAAGCACATACTCCATCCAGTTCTGTCTTTTCTGGGTAGAGTCAGATCTCCCCTGCCCTTTGAGCCTCTGAGATGGCTCATTTGAATCCTAGCAGGATGGCAAAACTGCCCAAGTTCCTTGTTAGGGTTCCATACACCTTATTTGCACGGTTCCACCCCCACAAGGATGCCAGGCACCTTATTTACACTATTAGCAAGCTATCCAATCCACTTTGTGGGCCACAAACACCTAATTTGCATAGTCCTACTCAGTCATTTGGTGGGAATTACAAAGACTATGGCTAAAAGCGTCAGATTAAGTAACTCACTACATAGCACCACCTCAAATCCATTAAAGTTTTTAGGGATAGGACTGATCCACACAGGTATATTTTCAAGAAGCTTCCTAGGTGGTTATATATTTCCACCATGAAAGTTCAGCACAGTGGCATGGATTGAATTGCGTCCCCAGGAATATCTGTCAACTGGGATGGGCTTCTCAGTGGTTTAACTTGGCAGTTAGATAATGATGTAATCATCCCCCAGGATGGGACCTGATGTGATTGGCCTGTCAGGGGATTAGGGTGGGATACAACACTTGTACATCTGATCCTATGGAGTTTTTCAGGGGTATGGCCTGCGTCATCTTTTCTCTTAGAAGAGCTAAAAGGAGAGAAATGAGCACAGAAGGAGGGACCTCTGGACCACCAAGAAAGACGAGCTGGGAGTGGAATGTGTCCTGTGGACTTGGTGGCCCTGCATTGAGAGCCTCCGAGACCCAGGGGAAGACTGAAGCCAAGACACATGGTGACCTTCAAGGAATGCCAGGCCCAGAGATGTTGAACAAGGCCAGGGACCTTCCCCAGAGCTGACAGAGAGAGATAGCCTGCCCTTCAAGCTGGTGTCCTGTTTAGGCTCTGAGTCCCTGAACTGTTGGGTGTTTTTTGTGGTAGCAGCATTAGGTAGCAGAGACAGCGGGCTGGACAGAACGCCATGATAAACCCTCAAACTATTTTCAAACAATTTTTTTTTTTTTTAATGAGGGGACTTTCATTTGGGTTTTAAAATCTGCAACACAAAAAAAATCTTATTTCAGGACATATGACACTGAAGTTTTCAAAGCAATATATATTGATTTTTCCACACAGTGAAAGAGTGTTTAAATAACTGAAAAGGGAGACAATATCACAGAGACATTTAGTCACCTAACATTAGAAACTGATTACAAAGCATCCAGATTGGTTCACAGGCTCACACAGGGCTGTCTTCTGCTTGATCATTGTGGACAAGAATTCTGTCTAGTTTGAGTTGTTATTCATGGGGTAATAAAGGAGTGAAACTTAACAATCAGGAAAAGAGTATCCCATTATTTAGTTTGAATTATTTTGGACAAAAACTGAAAGTCACCGAACGATCTTTGCCTTTCATCCAAGCAGATAATCAGGTATCTTCCGTTTACATTGAAGCAATGCCCCCACACGTGACGCACAGACGATACTTACTTTTCACCGTCTGGTTTCTGAGTTCCTTTCTCACGTTTATCTTTTTCCAAGTTCTTGATGTTTCTCTCTGTTATCAGTTTCTCTGCAGGAATCTGTGGAACCCCCATGGCTACTGCAAATTTTGTTGCACCTCGGTCAGTTAGAAAGCAATGAGACGTCTGAAACAGAAAGAAAAGGAACAATGCTGACTTTTTTTTTTTTTCCTCCCTTTTTAATTGTTTCAACTGTGCGCAAAGGCTCAAAAAATCTGAATGTTCAAAAGAGCCAGGAGAGTCTGGGTATCTGAGTTCTTATATTTAAAAGAAAGATAGAATGTTGGTAGGGACGTGACTTACATATACGCTTAAATTTAGAGAACTGAAACCATTTTTTTTAAGGCATACGAATCAGTAGGAACTAGAAGGACTACGGTGTGTCTGGCTAAGTCATGATATTTTCACTCTCCTCATACACACACAGAGCTGGACAGTGAATAGGGAAGACCAGAGAAGGACCGATGCTTTTGGATTATGGTGCTGGTGAAGAATATTGAATGCACCATGGAGTGCCGTGCCAGAAGAACCAACAAATCTGTCTTGGAAGAAGTACAGCCTGAATGCTCCTCCAAGGAAGGGAGGCTGGTAAGACTTTGTCTCGTATACTCTGGATATGTCATCAAGAGGACCAGTCCCTTGAGAAGGCCATCACACTTAGTTAAAGTAGAAGGTCAGTGAAAAAGAGGAAGTCTCTCAAGGAGATGGACTGACACAGAGCCTACAACCGTGAGTTCAAACACGGCAACGATACGGACGGTGCAGGGTCAGGCAGTGTGAAGTTCTGTCGTACGTGAGGTTGCTGTGAGTCGGAACCAACTCGATGGCACCTAACAACAACAACAACAACACTAACTAGTTGGTCTGTTCAATTTCTGTGTGTTGTATTAGGTAGGTTGGAAGAAGGCTACAGAAAATACAGGAAGACAATATGAATATAGTCAAGCTACACTGTAAACAGATTCAGAATCTTGGCTTATATGAGATACTTTAAACAACATTGCTCTGTTCTTTGCTGAACAAGGATTTCAGGTACTTCCTCTCAAACCTCTTTGTTAAGTTTCTGAAATACAGCAGTAGCAAATCTTTAGGAAAAGGACTCCTTAGTCAGATATACCTCTTCCATAACAAGGCGTGCAAGTTTAATGGGATTGGCTATACAGCGAACTGCAGATACTGCTCCCGTGGACAGATCTCTCCCATTCATGATACTGGCATCCATTTCAACATCACCATTTACATTCAAGACAGATCCACATCCTAAAACCAAGAAGAAGTCGAAAAACAAGAATTAAGACTTTAAAAAGGGCCTCAGTGTTTCCTCTAATCTGTCCCCTTTAATTCAGCCTCTGAATCCTGGTGTGGCGCTGTAGTACAAGCACTGGATTGCTAACTGCAGGGTCAGTGGTTCAAACCCACCAGCTGCCGTTCCTTGGCAATCTTATGCGGGGTTGCTGTGAGTTGGAACTGACTTGAGGCACTTAACAACAGCAATTCATCCTCTACTCCGTTGCCAGAGGAACACTTTAAAACACAAATCTGACTTGTCACCCTGTGGCCAACAACATTCAAAGTCTGAAGCCCTTCCTGATCTGGCCTCTGGTCCACCTTCCCAGCTTCACTGCCTCTCCTGGGTTCTATTCTGCTGAGTTACCAGGTGTCTTGGGGGTGCCACAGCCCTCATTGCTCTGCATCCTTGCACCTGCTGCTCCCTTTGCCACTAGCACCTTTTCTCCAAGTCAGTCTGCTGAGATGGTGTTGTTGTGAAGTGTCATCGAGTCAGTTCTGACTCATCGCGGCCCTCTATGGGGTTTCCAAGGAGCAGCTGGTGGGTTTGAACTGATGACTTTGTGGTCATGTTTCTTAAGCTCTTTGTTAACTATTTCTTTATCTGTAAAATGGGGGAAGAACATTTACTTGTTTAATTCTCACAACCATCAAGGAGGTAGACTTAAGCATAGGGTATGTTGTGCAGGTTTGCAATGAGTGGTAGCTCCTCCGATGATATCCCAATTTAACAGATGAGGAAACAAAGAAACAAACAAAAAACAACTCTCCCAACATCAAATGTCTACATGGTGAAGAGTTAGGTATCAAATCCAAGTAAGATCGCCATTTCCTTCTCACATATTTTGCATCATGCCTTGATGCCTTGGTTGGTGTTCAGTGCCTTCGAGTCAGTTCTGACTCAGAGTGACCGATCTATATAGGGTTTCTGAGGCTTTAAAATTTTTTGCAGGAGCAGAAACCTTCATCCTTTCCCTGCAGAGCAGTTGGAGGGCTTGAACCGCAGACCTTGTGGTTCGCAGTCCTGTGTTTATCATATGGAGCCGCTGCGCTTCCTCCTTGATGCCTTAGTGGCTACCATATAAACCCAGGGTTAAATGAGCAAAGTTAACTAAAAAAATCAGAGAGAATTTATGTAAAATTTGTTGCTTCAAATTAGTTTTGATTAACAAATGAAGAGATCTACTCGAAAAGAATTGGTGAAAAAGCTCATAGCTCATGTGTTGTTGTTGTTGTTTGGTTATCATTGAGTCTATGCCAACTCTACGCACAACAGACTGAAACACTTCCCGGTCCTCCACCATCCTCATAATCGTGTGATGTTTGAGCCCATTGTGGCTGCCACTGCGTCAATCCATCTCATTGGGAGGTCTTCCTCTTTTTTGCTGATACTTCACTTTGCCAAGCCTGATGTCCTTTTCCAGGGACTGGTCGCTGCTGACCTCTCCAAAGTATAAGAGATGAAGTCCTGCCATCCTTGTTTCTAAGAAGCATTCTGGCTGTTCTTCTAGATCTGTTTGTTCTTCTAGTAGCTCATGGTACTTTTCAATAATCTTCGCCAACACCATAATTCAAATGCATCCATTCTTCTACTGTCTTCCTTATTCATCACCCAACTTCCATATGCGTAGAAGGGGACTGTAAACACCATGGCTTGGGTCAGGCATACCTCAGTCCTCAAAAGTGACATTTTTGCTCTTTGGACACTTTCAAGAAGTCTTGTACAGATTTTCTCAGAAAGGGCCCGGGATACTTCATGCTTACACAGCCAGAGTGGAAGACCCTTATAACACATGGGTCTCAGGTAAACTACTCAGAAGTGTTTCAAGTCCTAAGTGAAGGACTTGAAACATTTACTTATGAAGATCAAAGAGCACAGCCTTCGATATGGATTACATCTCAATGTCAAGAAAACAAAAATCCTCACCAC